GTCTGTTTCCTCTCCTCTATCCATCTTCTATCCGCCTCCCCCTCTCTCCCTATTTATTTCAGAACCCCCTTCCCCTCCCCCTTTTCTGATGAAGGGTCTAGGCCCGAAACGTCAGCCTCTCTGCTCCTATGATGCTGCTTGGCCTGCTGTGTTCATCCAGCTCTGCACCTTGTTGTCTTGGATTCACCAACATCTGCAGTTCTGATCTGTATCTCTGATCCAAGGACATCCTGTCACCCGCGCTCTGAAAACACACAGATATGAGTCAGAGATTTCCCCTCTGGATAGGCTGTAAAAAGTGGATGTGGCCCGGGATGTTTAATTCAATCCAATTCAGTATTAATTTAACCGATCGACCAAGATGGAGTCCTGTTTGCACGGATCAGGACACGCTCTGTTACTAAGCTCAGCCGCAGGAATCCTCCTCAGTCTTACCTCCTGTAGTTCCAATAGTGCTCCTCAAGTGCTTTGCTCTGTATAACATAACTTAATTTCGATTTTAAAAACCTGTAGTTCTACCATTTAATGATTTTAAGGCTGTTTATTTCTCTTTTGCCCCATTAATGTTAACGAATTGTTCCACGTCCCTTTCTGCAGCAATTGGCAAAAGAAACCAATCCAAAAATGGGATCAGAGATAGTAGGAACTGCAGATGCTGGAGAATCTGAGATAACAAGGTGTAGAGCTGGATGAACACAGCAGGCCAAGCAGCATCAGAGGAGCAGGAAAGCTGACGTTTTGAAATTGATGCTGCTTGGCCTGCTGTGTTCATCCAGCTCTACACCTTGTTATCCCAATAAAGCTTTTTCATGCAGCGACCGATTAGGGTCTAGAATGCACTGTCTGCGAGTGTGATGGAGGCAGGTTCAACTGATGTATTCAAAAGAGAGTTAGATTGTTTCTTTTCAAATAACAATGTACAGGTTTACAGGGGAAAGGCTGGAGAACAGCATGAAATTAAATGCTCATTCAGAAAGGTAGCACACACAGACACTGGGCTGAATGGGTCCTTTTGCATTGAGGAGGCTTCATTGCTACACAGACTGCACTGTGCTGGCACATTCTTCTCCCTCACATTCTCTTTCCTCCACAGTCTGGACACATAAACAAACATACTGTTAAAATACTTGTATCTTTAGAATGAAACCTATTCTGTTGTAATATCCCTTTCAACATCTCAAAAATGTTTCAGTTTGAGCACTTCCCATAGCTGCTTGATGGCCTAGTGGATTAGGGATTGCTGAACAGAATGAATCACTCAAGGGTTCCAGAGTCATTGTGTGGCATGTATCGAGTTACACAAAATCAGTTGGCATCCTCAATTGGTTTCAGTTCATCTGGGCAAGGAGCAGAGACGTGTGAAAGCAGATGAGAGAAAATGGAAGGAAAGGCAAGGGGAGAGGAACACAGGGTGCACATGGTTCCTGATTATAGAAAGCTTTCCCTTGTAGATTAAGTGACAATAATTAAGCCATTGGCTCTCCACAGCTAAATATCTTGCAGACACCAGCTCTTATTGGAAGATTAGCCATTGGCTAGGTTGGAGTACTTGGTAATAAAATCCCTGTGAATCTGGCCAGCAAGAGCCAGAGTCTCCAGAGTCGGAGAGATGAGAAATAAAATGCTACAATTACATGATTCTTTGTCACAAAACACTCAAACCTTTTTGTCTTCAGCCACGATCATCCTTGAAGCTGACACTGCCCCTCCTATTCCTGGAGCCCCAAATTTCATTAATCAGCTTTTTCCATGGCACTTTATAAATGGCTTTCTGAAAACCATATGGACAACATCCATTCCTCCCCTTCATCTATCTGAACTGTTGCCATCCAGCCCCCTTCACTCTTTTCTCCGGTTGTCCATCTACTGTTTCCCATAAGCTATCAGCTCTACAGCCCCAACTTCCCAATGACTGCATTATAAAGACATTCTGATCCATTTCATACCCAGGTCCTTTATTTGCCTATGAAGGAAGAACTGTACTGCAGCATGTTTCACAACCACAGGGTTTCCCAAAGTGCTTCATAGTTAAGGAAGTACAAAATGTTACAGTCTGGGCACTAAGGTAGCCATTCTAGTTACACACAATACTCCCTTCTCGTTGGGAAGTCTGAAAAGGTGGATAGCTTTTCAGATGTATTTATGAAGAAGGGTCTAGGCCCGAAACGTCAGCCATCCTGCTCCTCTGATGCTGCTTGGCCTGCTGTGTTCATTCAGCTCTACACCATGTTATCTCAGATTCTCCAGCATCTGCAGTTCCTACTATCTTTAGATAAGAAACTACCAGGTTACTCAGATAGACAAAGATGCTGTTGCTCTAATGACTTGGTACTGAATAAGTGGTACAAGAGAGCCTGTTCTGAGGTTGGTATCTGGCTGATATAAACAGGAACCATCACGAGGAACACAGGCTCTGTACCAACCATGGCCTCATTGAATGGTGGAGCTGATGTGATGGGCTAAATGGCTTATTTCTGCTTTGACGTGTTATGGTCTCTACTGGGTGGACTGTGCAAAACACAGAAGCTAGGACTCCATGGAATGGGTAAGTACTGCTGCAGCAGAAATGCCTGCACCAGCAAGTGAACGAATCACAAGTGCTACTGAGGCTGGACCTACCCTCATGTCAGATTTAACAACTGGCTAATCGAATAGGAACAAGAATATAATGAAAAACCATGAGGAAGGGTAAGGGTTAGAGAAATTATGAGGTGGGAGAGGGTAAAGTAGCTGGTTAGGGGCAGACAAAAAGCATAAAATAGCTTAAATAAACATTTCCTTAGATCATTTAGCTATGTATTGACAGAATGTGTGTCCGTAAAGCAGAAACCTAAACCAGGTCATTGACTATTACATATCACAGCAACAACCAACACTGCCTGAACCCATACAACTAAGATGAACTTTGCACGGGCAGCCCTTTAATTCTTATGGCGAAATACTCAGTTCCTTTGAGGTTGTGCCAATGTATTACTTCTGTAGTCAAATATATTGAATCAATTTAGCAGAAGAATTTAGAGTTGGAGCACTTTCATTGAGAAGTTGGTCTGTAATTAACATAAGTTCTATCCAAGGAGTCAGACATTTACTGGGGCAGCATGGTGGCTTAGTGGTTAGTACTGCTACCTCACAGCACTGGAGACCCGGGTTCAATTCCACCCTTGGGCACCTCTCTGTGTGGAGTTTGCACATTCTCCCTGTGTCTGCTTAGGTTTAAATTGGGTGCTCTGGTTTCCTCCCACAGTCCAAAGACGTGCAGGTTAGGGTGGATTGGCTGTGGGAATGTAAGGTTACAGGGTAGGGGAGGATGAATCAGTGTGGCCTTGTTGGGTTGAATGGCCTGTTTCCACACTGTATGGATTCTGTGAATAATCAGCTGCTCTGCAGATGGAGACCACGTCACTGGACTTGTTATCGTATCACCAACAGCGCAGCAAAAATGAATTACCAACAACCCCCATCCCCAGTAAGTAACAGTTGCCTCAACAACAAATCATTTATTAATTATTCTGTTTGGTTTTTTCCCTAAAAGTTTATAACCGTTGACATTTGAGTAACTGGCACAGCCCGAGGGGTTTCACAATCAAAAAAATTCAAGACAAACCATGGAAGCACAATTTACAGAGAGATAAGAAGATGGGAAGGAGATCGTAAATAGTATAGAGAGAGAAAGAAAAAAAATATTGGAACAATAACAGAGGTGGTGAGAACACCACATAGTGTGATAAAACGCAAGGTAGGGAAAGTGAAAGAAGGAGAAAGAGATTTGAGAAAGTATGGAGGGAGGAAAAGTATCATGGAGAATGAGGGACAGAGGAGTAAAGAGGAAAAAAAGAGCGAGAGAGAAAACGCTAATGTCTCATTCAATAAAAATGATGTGAATTAACATTTTCTTGTGCAACACCGAACGTTTCCCCCTGCGTGTCATCTGAAACAGTGTGTCTTGCACAGAGGCTCCTCCCTCCAATGCATCTGATGCATTGTTGTCTAGCTGAACAGAAGATTCCTCAGTATTTACACAGATGCCACGCATGACAGGAAGTAGTGAGGGTAAGTGACAACTTGTCCTCAGCCTTTATCTGGATGTGTCCATCCGCTCCTCTTTAAAAATCTCGCAGAAACAGATGACCTCGCTGTTGGAAGAAGCAGAAATAATGCTTGGCTTAAAACTGTTTCGCAAACAGTGTCCACTGTGCATTCATTTTTTTTTGTGTTCTGTAGGTATATAAAAGGCTGAATAATGTTTGGCAAACATGTTGAAATCTGAACTCAAAGGGAATTTTAGATCCCCTCTATCTACAGTGAGCTGAGAGAGCATTAATCAGTCTGACACAGACAGGCCCCACACACACCCAGGAACCAGTTTCTGCTGATTCAACCTTACAAGAGGTCCCCTGACACATAGGCAACTTTTCCTTTCTTCTCACCAATTATCTAATCCAATGGTATCCCATCTTTTATTATTAGGACCGAACAGGTACACACGATGGAGCTATTGACTGGGGGCATGAGGTGGTGCACACCTTTAAATTGAAAATCCTTGAGCCCATCAATCTGCAGATAACTCAAACTGATAAGGCTCACACATTTGGGTGTTCGGATTTAGGTTTCATCTGATAACGGGTAAACAGAAATAAGTGCAGCCCATTTCCAAATTCAAATGACCAGTAAACCCAATCATTTACGTTAATGATTGATGAAACATTAAACACAAACTGAACAGTATTGCCTCGTCAGCAAAGGTGGGATTTCTAGGGAGGCTGCTCCAGATGCAGCTTCAACTGATTCCTAGTGTAAAATAAACTGTTGACTTGGAGACAATTTTATGAACATCGTCTCGCAATTGGGTGGATGCGACTCAAACTCATTTGAGTTGGATCCCAGGGATCTTGTGAATCAGGTTTGGATTGAAACCCAAGCACTAGAAGTTAAGAGGCTGAACTGAACCACATTTGTCTTACATTTGGCTTAATGTTTCCTAAATGGAACATGTATACAGTTTAGAAGAAGAGTTATACTGTACTTGATACATAAACAATTTCTCTCTGCGCAAACACTGTCAGACCTGCTTCATTTCTCCAGCACTTTCCGTTTTCATCACGTATACACAGTCATGTGTGAAAGTTCTTCATGTACCTTGCCATCGCTTTGGTCTCCGGTCTAGCTGCATCACTCTCAATCACTCCCTTCAGCAGTTCAATTCCATTCTCTTTGATCAGCAATGGACAGTATTTCTCAGCTAAGGATTTAAACCGTTAAATAGCAGGTTCACAAATCGCTTCAGCTCAGAAGCAACACTTCACGCAGCATTGATCTTTACAATGCAACAGTATCCCCCCCATCCACAATTTCATTCATTCTGCAAACCAGACGCTTGAAATTCAACAATGTGTAGTGAAATATTTTCTTCTCTTCCTCACTGGGACATATATTGTTGAAACACAGAAGCTGTACAGCACAGAAGGAGGTGTTCTAATCCACTGTGTCAATGTTTGTATCTACCTGAATGGCTGTAAATTGGGAGAGTGGGAGTGTGCAGTGGGACCTGACCTTGTGCACCAGTCGCTGAAGGTAAGCATGCAGGTGCAGCAGGCGGTAAGGAAGGCAAATGGCATGTTGGTCTTTGTTGTGAGAGGTTTCGAGTACAGGAGCAAGGATGTGTTGTTGCAGTTATACAGGGCCTTGGTGAGACCACACCTGGAATACTGTGTGCAGTTTAGGTCTCCTTTTCTGAGGAAGGATGCTCTTGCTCTTGAGGGAGTGCAGCGAAGGTTTACCAGGCTGATTCTGGGAATGGCGGGGTCTGATGTATGAGGAGAGATTGACTAGGTTGGGATTGTTTTCGCTAGAGTTTAGACAAATGAGGGGGGATTCTCATAGAGGCTTATAAAATTCTAACAAGACTGGATAGGGTAGATGCAAGGAGGATGTTCCCGATGACAGATGTATCGAGAACCAGGGGTCACAGTATGAGGATTCAGGGTAGATAATTTAGGACAGAGATGAGGAGACACTTCATCCAAAGAGTGGTGAGCCTGTGGAATTCATTACCACAGGAAGTAGTTGATGCCAAAACATTGAATGTATTCAAGAGGCAACTAGATATAGCACTTGGGGTGAATGGGATCAAAGGTTATGGGGAGAAGGCAGGATTAGGCTACTGAGTTGGACAATCAGCCATGATTGTGAAGAATGGCAGACCAGGTTTGAAGGACCAAATGACCTCATCCTGCTCCTATCTTCTATGTTTCCATGTCATTTTGGCCAAAACTTAGACTGAAATTCCCCAGCATAGCATAGTCTAGTGCTGGTGGTTGTAGTGCACAGCACATGATCCAGGAGGTTAGAAGTTACATAACTGTCATGAAAACCCAATTAATTCATGAATGCAAGCACAGACACAATGGGCCGAGTGGCCTCTTTCAGTGCCGTCTCATTCTATGAATGCCTTTCAGAGTAGGGATTCTGCCACCCAAACCTGGTCTAGGTTGAGTGAAAAACACCAAATGGCAGGAGAAACTCAGTAGGTCTAGTAGCATCAGTGGAGAGAAAAACAGAGTTAATATTTCAATTTCACTATGACTCCCCTTCAGAACTTTTCACACAGACATACAGAAATCAAAATGTTAACTCCATCTCTCCACAGATGCTGCCAGACCTGCTGAGTTTCTCCAACATTCTCTGTGTTTGTTTCAGATTTCCAGCATTTGCAGTATTTTGCTTTTATAGCTTGTGGGACAGATGTTCAGACTATGTGGTGAACTCATAAACAACAACTTGCATTTATTTTGTGCTTTTAACAAGGCAAAATGTTCCTTATTGGTTCAGAGGAGCATAAATCAGTCAAAATTTCACACTGAGCCCGTGAGATGTTGGGAGAGTTGACCCAACGTTTGATCAAAGAGTTAGGGTTAAAAGGTTTTTCAGAGAATTTTAGTGAGAAAGGAAATTTCAGAATGTAGGGTCCAGGCAGGTAAAGGCATCGCTGCCAATGTGGGAGGATGTGGGAGAGACCATAATTGGACAATTTTAGTGATATTACGGCAGTAGGGCCAGAGAAAGTTGAAAAGATTGTGAGGTGGGGTGAGGAGGTCACAGAGTTTCCAAAAGCAAAAATGAGAATTAATGCTGTTTGAAGTGATGTTCCTGCATCAGTAATCTCCAGGCCTGTAATTAAGGTGCAGAAAATGCAAGTTTAAATCCAACCAAGACTGAGAGTTTGAAAATATGAATTCTGTGAAAAAAACTGTAATCAGTGAAAGTGAATAGCTGTCTAGTTTTCCAGCAGGGTCAGGAGTTGGAATCATGGCTGATTGTTTCCATCCTTACCCAGCCTAAAGGTACTGATGCTAATTATAGAGTCCTTAACACAACCTGGACTAAAGACAGAGCCAATTCAGCCCCAGTACAGGCACTGAATCTGGGATCTTCCATGGTCATAGGACTCCTGAACACTCAATTAGCCCCAGGAAAACTGTTAGACACTTGTGAAGTGATAGGGGTTGAAAGGGCTGGGAGGGAATAAAGAAAATTGAAATGGCAAACTTTGCAGGCCATGATTGGGCTAAAAACTGGTATAATTGGGTGGGGTGAGCAGATTGATGTGCTGCCCTGTCAGTCACAGAAACACACAGGCATTGACAGGCTTGGCCTGTATGTTGCTTGATCAATCTGTCCTCTACTTGCCATGACTATACACTCAATGTTACAGATTAAAAGGTACATCACTATCCAGTACTTACGATAAACAGACGTAAGGTTAAACAGAGCCCATGTTGCCCAATGCTGGCTGACTGGAGCCACTTGCTGAGGGAGAAGGCGTAGAATTGGCTCAAAAGACCTGCAAGGAGGAAGGAATCTGCAGCTCACAACTGTCCTCAGAGTTCAGAATACTCTATCCTGCCCAAACACCCCTCCACTGGATTTGGGATGTCCCATCCACCTGGAAAGACATGCCCTCGCCACTGGACGAATCACACCCCCTCCACTGGCCTATTCTCCCCACCAGCCCTGGATAATCTCCCCACCACTGGCCAAATCTATTCAAGGCCCAAACTAAACCTCTCATGTGACAGAACATTCTGCCAGTTCCCACCTGTAGTTAATGTTTCTTCTTGAATTCTCATCCCAGCTGGAGATTGCTCGCCACATTCGATCCATTACTTCCACACGCTGTGGTTCTGTGATGGTCCAGGCCTCATCTCCATCGAATATGATGTGAGACAGAACTCCACACGCATTATATGACACCTCAATCCCATCTGCATTACTTTCTAAGAGACGGCTGCAATGAAAATAAAGGGGTAAAAATGAGGTGTGAGGTGGGGTTGGTATGAGAATGGAGACCTTTCCACTATAAATTGGGACACATTTCTTCATAATAATTGCAGAATATAGTCAAAAGAGATGACCTTTGTAGATTCGTGGTCAAATGTAAGAGAGGGCATTTTTACTATATTTTATAATGGAAGGAAATGTTGCAGAGCAAGGCACTTAACCCATCCAGCAGCTAACAGATGGAATTAGATTGGCAATGGGAAGTCAAATGAGGCAGAGTATAAATTGGGAGAGTAAATTCCTCTCTTGACTGCTTACAAAACACAGAAAAAGTGTAGGGCGATAATCACTTTGCTTATTTTATAAAATCAGGCTATTTACATAAAGAGATAACCCAGGGCAAAGGGTCAGAGCAGTTTACATCACTGCAGTAGTGAGTGGGTAGGGCAAGGCCCACTCCTAACAATATCTACTGAGCTTATGATACCAGATTCAGGAACATGCCAACTGGTTGTGGGAAGTGCCAATCCCAACACCTCTCACGCCAAAGATGAATTTGAATGTATATCACTCGAAGCAACTGTACTGTTCAGGGTTGTTCTCCTTACAGCGGAGAAGTAAAGATTTAATAGAGGAGTTAAAACTTATGAAAGATGTTGATAGAACTAATGAGGGAAAACTGGTGGGAGAGTCAGTAAGCAGCAGAATTAAAGAGAAGGCAGAACAGGGGGAGAAGAGAATTTGTTTATGCAGTGCGTTGTTATGGTCTGAATGTGCTTCCTTGAAGGGTTATGGTCGCAAAGTCATTAGTATCTTTTAAAGGGAATTGACTAAATATTTGAATGGGAAAACCTTCAGGTCTAAGGGGAAACAGGAACTAAATAAAAACAAAAACCATGGCAAAAACTCAGCAGGTCTGGCAGCATCTGTGGAAAAAGAAACAGCTGATGTTTCAAATCACTGTGATCTTCTTCCCAGCAGTCATTTTGAACTTGAAATATTAACTTCTTTTCTGTCTCTGCAGATATGAATTAGGAGTTTGGCCCCTCAAGCATGCGGCACCATTCAACAAGATCATGGCTGACCTATTTGTATTTCAAATTCCACTTTCCCATCTACTCTTGATAACCTTTGATTTGCTTCCCCAACAAGAATAAAATATTTAATGCTACATCTCTACCACTTTCTGAGATAGAGTTCCAAAGTCACACAACCCTCAGAAGAAAAAAATTCCCTTAATCTCTGTCCCAAAAGGATGAAACTTCATTTTTAAACAGTGCTTCTAAATCTGGACCCGCCCACAACAGGAAATATCTTTTCCTTGTCTAATATATAAAAACCATCTTGTATGCTCTGACCAAATCATTCCTCACTCTTCTGAACTCCAGTGGAAATAGTCTGTCCAACATTTCTTCATAAAACAACCCATTCATTCCAGGTGTCAATTTAGAAAACCTCCTCTGGACCACCTCCAAGTCATTTACAGCTTCCCTTAAATAAGGAGACCTAAATAAAAACTGCACACACAATTCAAGATTTGGTCTCACCAATGCTCTGTATAACTGAAGCATAATCTTCCTTTTATGTTCAGTTCCCCTTAAAATAATGGATAGCATTCCACTAGCCTTTTTAATTATTTGCTTACCTATCTATAGCATTTTTGACAACATCAGGGTATTCTAAAGTGCTGTTGAAGTGTAGTCACTGTTGTAGTACTTATAAACATGGCATAATATGCTCCCACACACAGCAATGTGATGACCAGGTAATCTACCTTCTTATAATAAGGATTACATTCCATTAGCTTTCTTAATTAATTGAATAACCGGACTCACACATGAGAAAACCTAGATCCCTCTGCACCGCAGATTTCTCCAGCTGTTCTCCTGGACAGTACTTTCTGTTTTTATTTCAGATTTCCAGCATCTGCAGTACTTTGATGTTATTATGTATGGCAGAGGAACCAACCGTCTGCGTTTTTATTCTTCCTGCCAATATGAACAATTTCATGTTTTCCAACTATATTTTCTACCTGCCAAATTTTTGACAGCTCATTCAACCTATCTATATCCATCCGCAACCTGTTTATGTCCCCTTCACAGTGTACTTTTGTATCTAACTTTGTATCATCTGTAACTTCAGCTAGCTCAACTTTCAAGCCCACATGGCGGCCCTTATTTACACTAAAATACTGGCCTTACCCCACTTTCTCCCTTTGCTGCCTGAGCTGCTGAGCTTTTATATTTATATGTAAAAATTCAAATAATATAAACATATAAATATTCAAACATATGAAATAAGAACAGAAGAAGGGACTTGACCTGTTGAGTCTGCTCCATCCTTCAACAAGATCATGGCTGATCTGATTACTCCTCATCCCTGCCTACGCCTAATGACCCATTACTCCCTTGTCTATCAAGAATCTATCATCCATTGTCCTAAAAATATTAAAGGATTCTGCTTCCATTGACTTTTGAGGAGGAGAGTACCAAAAACCCAGGAATCTGCGAGAAAAATAAAGTTCTCCTCAACCGTGTCTTGAATGGCCAACTCCTTAAATTCCTCAGTGGTCATGGTGAGATTTGAACTTATGTCTCCAGATCATTAGCCCAAACCTTTAGATTACTAGACTAGTAAGCTAACCACTGTGCTACCATACCCTACAGCCCACTTCCACCATTTTGTTTTAATTCCTGATTTCCAGCAGTCTGATTTTATTATATACAAAAGCGGATCTAATTGGATAGTCAAGAATCTCCTTGCGTGGGGACTGATGTACAGAATGTGCAGAGGTGAAGAAGTTGAAAATGTCTATAACATAATTGGATGCAATATAATAAAATCCACAGTTTGATGATAATCTGACTACAGCATAAACAGTGATTGGAACAGAGTAAGGGGGCGTGTGGAATGGAAGCCAAATCATTATATAACTTTTTGTACCCTGACAGGTAAACTACAGGTAAGACACAATAGCAATGTTTGAGGGGCCTCTTGACAAATATATGAATGGGTAGGGAATAGAGGGATATGGACCGTGTGGAGGCAAAAAGGTTTTAGTTTATGAAGGTGTGATGTGACAGCGCAGGTTTGGTAGGCTGTAGGGCCTGTTCCTGTGCTGTACTAATCTTTGTTCTTGTTCTAGATTGTTTCAAAATGGACTTTAAAGATACTAACCTGAAGACACTGATGAATTGTGTTGTCATCAGATGCGGTCGAAGATGTTTGACCTCAGCGACATTTCCCAGCAGTCCCAGCATGTTCCTGTGTAATTCTTGTTTTCCTTGGAACTCCTGGAATTAAAGGAAGATTTAAAAACTTTATAGAAGCAAATTGAAAAACAGTATGCAAAGTACAGGGTCTCACAGCTAATCATATCTGGGATCCTCCAGCCAATCACATCTGGGTCCCCATAGCTGTGCTATCATATCCTGCACCAACCATTGCAGTGGCCAGGACAAAACAGAGAGACAACGATTAATTCTTTTCATGCTCTGAATGCATTTGTACATGTAAACGCAGGGTCACATTCTCCAGGAAGAAACTTACATTCAAACATTCCAGAAACAGCTTCATTCCATTGCAGTTCAGAAACATTTCACAGTTATCAGGAGTTTCGTCAGTAATATTCCATAGTGCACTCCATGAAAACTCCATAACCTGGTCACACTGCCCAAAGAAAGAAAGAAGGGACAGGGAATATGATATAAATGTTTCTCAATCAAGCTCTAGCACACTGATGCTGATCTAAAGCAGGAATGAAAGCAAAATACTCAAAGTACTTGATACTGTTAAATCTTCAAAAAGAACACAGGATACTGGAAACAATATGCATGTTAGGTAGCATCTATGGAGACAGAAATAAAGTTAACATTCCAGGCTGATGATCTTGCATTAGAGTCACTGTTGAAACATTAACCCTGATTCTCTCTGTATGGATGCTACCAGACATAATGAGAATTTCTAGCATTTTAGTTCTGAGATAAGAACAAACAGATTACTTATGATTTGAGTCCTGGACTTGGGAGGTGAAAGTAGTAAATTCACAGAAAAACCTATTGGAAACAATCATTTTGGCCCCACTGTCTCTTGAATTTGTGAATGAGTGCCACCCCGGGCAGTATGTGTTTACTGCTGAGAATGGAGTATAATTGAGCTCCACCTTGTCTTCACACAATTTTGGCCCATCGATGAGCACTTTTCAGTGGGAGTCAGGAGCAGAGATGCTGCTCCCCACCAGCTTTTGGAGGTCAACTGCGTTACTCGAACTACTGGGCACTGGCTCAGATCAAACAGGAGGCTGGAAGAACACAGCAAGCCAGGCAGCATCTGGGGGAAAGCAGCAGTCAACGTTTCGGATATTATGCTTCTTCAGGACAACTCCAATTAGATCCCACCACCTGGAACATCTTCCACTCCCCACTCCTCTCTGCCTTCCACAAGGACCTTTCCCTTCGTCACTCCTTAGATCACGCCACGCTCCCCAACAACGACTCCAATCCATCCGAAGAGGGGTAATACCTGAAACGTTGACTGCTCCTTTCCTCCAGGTACTGCCTGGCTTGCTGTGTTCTTCCACCTCCTGTTTGTCTACCTTGGATTCCAGCATCTGCAGTTTATTTGTCTCTAACTGGCTCAGATCAGTTGGAACTGTACAATCTGAGCAATGAACCTGCAGCCTACAGGCTGCCTGGCTTCCAGCTGAGCTCAATGGTGTATTAACCATGTGCTCGGCACTGAATAAGCTGCCCACACACAATTGCTGGGCTCTTAGCTGAAGTAAAGCCTCTTGGATGCAAGATAACAAAGGAGTGGCGCCACACACAGAATTCCAGGTTAATTGACAGCATCTTCAAGAGAGAAGGTGGGAACATGGTGGGGAAAGGAAACACAACTTTCAGCCATCAGTCAGGGAATAACACTCTCTGGCCTGCCAGTCAGATGGTTGTGGGTTCAAACCCTACTCCAGATACAAAGCACAAAATCTAGACTGACATTTCAATAAGGTATTGAGGAGTGCTGCATTGTAGGAGGTAATTTTTTCAGGTGACACTATAAAACAAAATTGACATTAAAAATTCTATGGGCATAACTGCAAAGAACACAAGCGGGCTTCCCTCCAGTGTTCCATCCAATACTGATCCTGGGAGTAATATGTTGGTGTGACCTTGCTGCGTGCAAATCGATGTCTGTATTTCCTACTTTACAGCATTGGCTATTTTAATGTTTTATGAATGTTTTATTAACAGTGAAGTGCTTCAAAAAAGGCACTACATAAAGGCAGGTTCTTCTTTCCTTTAACTTACCACTTTGTCTGTCAATTTTTTCTGAATCAACTTCAACATTGTCTGAAAGAAGATACAGATTAAACAGGTTAGCAGTAAAGGTCAGGTCATCTCTTGAAAGCAGGCCCACCTCATTTCACCGAGGAGCAGGTATTATACAATACAATACAGCACAGGAGCAGGCCCTTCAGCCCACCAAGCCTGTGCCGATTACTAATCCTTATTTAGACCCTCTACTTATTGCCCATACGTGGTTTCTAACCCGCCATTCGCCTCCCCCATTCGTGTGTCACCAAGATACGCCTTAAATGTTGCTAACGTGCATGCTTCCACCACCTTCACTGGCAGTGTGTTCCAGGCACCCACCACCCTCTGTGTGAAACATTTTCCCCACACATCCCCCCTAAACCTTCCCCCTCTCACCTTGAACCTGTATCCTCATGACCTTTCCACCCTGGGAAAACACCTCTGACCATACACTCTTTCTACGCTTCTCATAATTTTGTAGATCTCTATCTGGCCCCTCAGCCTCCATCTTTCCAGTGAAAACAATCTGAGTTTATCCAACCTCTCCTCATACCTAAAACCTTCCAGACCAGGCAACATCCTGGTAAACCTTCTCTGCACCCTCTCCAAATCATCCATGTCATTCTGGTAGTGTGGCAACCAGAACTGCATGCAATATTCCAAATGTGGCCTAACTAAAGTTTTATACAGCTGTAATGTAATTTGCTAATTTTTATATTCAATGCTTCGGTCAATGAAGACGAGCATGCAGTATGCCTTCTTGACCACCTTGTCCATCTGTGTTGCCACTTTCAGGGATCTGTGGACCTGTACACCCAGATCCCTCTGTATGTCAGTGCTCTGAAGGGTTCTGCTAATTATTGTATAATTCATACCAGAATTTGATTTTCCAAAATGAACCACCTCTATTTGTCCAGGTTAAAGTCCATCTGCCATTTCTCTGTGATCTATCTATATCCCATGTGTCCTCTGGCAATCCTCTTCACTATCTGCAACTCCCGCTAATTTTGGTGTCATATTACAAACAACAAAGGTCCCAACTCCAATCCCTGTGGAACACCACTAGTTACTGATCTCCATTCCGAAAAGCACCCTTCTACCAGTATTCTCTGTTTCTATGATCAAACCAGTTCTGTCTCCATCTAGCCAGCACACCCCAGATCCCATGAGTCTCTACCTTTTGTACCAGCCTGCCATGAGGTACCTTATCAAATGTCTTACTGACGTCCATGTAAACAACATCCACTGCCCTTCCCTCATCAGTCATTCTTGTCACCTCCTCAAAAAACGCAATCAAGTTAGTGAGACATGACCCTCTCCACACAAACCCATGCTGCCTGGCACTAATAAGTCCATTCACTTCCAAATGTGAATAAATCCTGTCTCTCAGTATCTTCTCCAACAGCTTCCCCACCACCGACATCAGGCCTGCAGAAATTCTACAATAAAACCTACTATGCGTATACCAACACCTGCCACCACCCCCTTCCCAATCATTCAACAAATCTGACCACTGGGAGCTGTAAAATTACTGCTCAACCAGTTTCAGGCTGAAAGACTGACTGGAGAAAATGATGAAAAGCTACTTGTAAGCAGGTTGATCCTTAATGAATGAGATATGAGGAATATCTACTGATGTTCTTGGCTATTTCAAAACATCAAACATCCAAAAAGAGAGGTGAGAACAGACCAACGCAGCCATCCACATTTGCCCTCTGCATTAGGGCCATCGAGCACTTTTTAAAAATAGATTTGTTATGGCATGCGGGTGCCACTGGCTAAGCCACATTTATTGCCCATCCCTAATTGCACTGAGGACAGTTGAGAGTCAAACATATTACTATGGGTCTGAAGTCACATGTAAGCCAGATCAGGTAAGGATAGACAACTTCGTTCCTTAAAGGATATTCATTAAATGGGTTTTTAAATGAGAATCAACAGTAGTTACACAGTCATCATTAGGGTAGCTTTTTAATTTCATGTTTTTCCATGGATACTGAATCCCATAAAAGATTTAAACCCATGTCCCTAGAATATCAGCCTTTGGATTCCAGACCAGTGACATTACCAGTATGCCAATACCTCCCCCAACTGTTAGCAATATTAAGTAAGTTCCAACAAGAGGCAAATGAGAAGTGACCTGTAGGAAGATCTGAGATAACAAGATGTAGAGCTGGATGAACACAGCAGGCCAAGCAGCATCAGAGGAGCAGGAAAGCTGACGTTTCGGGTCTAGACCCTTCTTCAGAAATCGGGGAGCGGAACGGGGTTCTGAAATAAATAGGGAGAGAGGGGGAGGCGGATAGAAGATGGATAGAGGAGAAGATAGGTGGAGAGGAGACAGACAGGTCAAAGAGGTGGGGATGGAGCCAGTAAAGGTGAGTGTAGGTGGGGAGGTAGGGAGGAGATAGGTCAGTCCAGGGAGGACGGACAGGTCAAGGGGGCGGGATGAGG